GTTGGCAGCTCAGCGGCAGCTCAGCTCAGTGGCAGCTCAGCTCAGGCGCAGCTCACTGGCCCATGTGGGATTTGGACCAGCAACCCTGTTGCTCAGAGCTCAAGCTCTTAACCAACTGAGCCACTTGGCCAGCCCAGTTCAAGAGTTTTTATAATTCAGTCTCTAGCCCACTCCCCTCTGAGAAATGAGGCTGAAAGTTCCCACTCTCTAAGAATCAAATATTTGGTTTTCTGGTAACCAGCCCCATTCTGAAGTTATATAAGGGTCCCGCTTCCTGAGTCAAAAGACATTAGTGTTACTCAGGAAATTCCAAGGGTTTTAGGAGCTCTGTGCCAAGAACTCAGGACCCTAGTTCTGTAATGAAAAAGTTTATATTGATAGAATTCTAGATCTCAGCGATCAAGGCTTTCAGCAGTTGCTTTGCAACTGTGTCACCTATCTAGCCACAGTTTAACTTATTAACATGGTGGCTCCTTTTTCAGTTTAGTATTCTTGCAACTTAGAAGGCCATCATTACTATCTCAATATTTCATCTTATACTAGTTGAGTTTAGGGAGTTTTTAGTACATAAAGTGGTTATATACAAAACTTCATTTGCAATTTCAGTGTTTCTATATTTTCTGTAGAAACAGTAGAGTAAGTGGTGAATGTTTTCATACCCCACTCCATTGGCTTTGGCAAGATACATAACTGAGAGCAAAAGAAGAAAGTTGGGAGTGTTTGAGTACTGAGGATGAAAAAGCTTTTGATTTCTTTGAAAGATAGGGAAATGAGAGCTCTCTTTGCTGTTTTGTTTAGTGTCAGTCTACAGATGTCAGAGGAAAGATATTGTGTGTTGGGAACTAAATTGTACTCCCCGACCACCACCACCAAATTCATATGTTGAAGCCTTAACTCCTTTGTGACTATATTTGGCTATAAGGTCTTTAAAGAAGTAATTGAGGTTAAATGAGGTCATAAGGGTGGAGCTCTAATCCAATAGGACCAGCGTCCTTATAAGAAGTGGAAGAGACTCCAGGGATGGGCACACACACAGAAAAGGCTATGCGAGGACACAGTAAGAAGGCGGCCATCTCCAAGTCAAAGAGAGAGGCCAACGCCTTAATCTTGCTTGGCCTATCAGCCTCCAGAACTGTGAGAAAATAAATTTATGTTGTTTAAGCCATCTAGTCTGTGGTGTTTGTAATGGCAGCACTAGCAAACCAATAAATCGTGTTATTTTACAATAGGATTTCAACTAGTGCCCTATGGAACATTAGTGTGTAGGACATGTTAATAGAGATTTCTTAAAAAGGGATCTTTGGCTTAATAAATTTGGGAAATAATCTATAATGTATTTCCCCCCTAAGGATTGACCATACATATTCATATGTTAAACATCCCTAGAAGCCTTGAAACAAAGAAATTTAATTTTTTTTCAACTTCAACATTTCCCAAATATATTTGTCTACAGAACATGTCCTTCTTTTTTAAATGATTTGTGGGTTTCCCATCCAGGAGAAAGTAGGTTGGAGGAGAGTCATATGTATCTTCTTTTCCCCTAAAACCATGGTATGGTTTCATGTTTCTACATATAAGGAACATATAGTATGTGTTCCTAGTAAATCCTGAGCATGAGATGTTCACCAATATAACTTAGTTGAAAACCCCAGTAAGTGAAGAAGGGGAAATGGATGTCTTATATGTAGAATATAGAAGCTCTGGCATCTTATTTTAACTTTTATTCAGAAAGTCATTTTAGTTGATTAGCTATATTTTATATATTAACTTGATATGTTTTTCGTTCAGTTTGAAATACTGTATGTTTTTATTGATATGAATCTATATAAGGAGTAAGTCTCTGGTAACTTTCTTTTTTAACATTTTTTAAAATGTACTGCTTTTATTTTGTTATTTTGGGGCAGGTAAGTTTTTTTGTAACTATTTTTTTCAATTACAGTTGACAGTCAATATCATTTTATATTACTTTCAGGTGTATAGCATAAATAGACATTTATATAATTTATACAATGATCCCCTTGATTAGTCTAGTACCCACCTGGCACTATACGTAGTTATTACAATATTACTGACTGTATTTCCTGTGCTGTACTTTACAGTTGTAAAATGACTATTTTATAACTACCAATTTGTACTTCTTAATCCCTTTACCTTTTTCACCCAGCTCCCCAACCCCCTTTCTGATAATTTTATTTCTTCTTTGCCTGAAAAGCTTCACAACATAATATAGTAGTTAAAGTCAGAGCCCTAGGAATCAGACCACCTGTATATGAATTCTAGCACTTTTTCTCCCTTGGGCAGGTTACTTCACCAAATATCAATTCCCTCCTCTTAAATAAATGATGTAATAGTACCTACGTTTGGGGGTTGTTGTGAAGCACTTATTATAGTGCCTATTACTCAGTATAATTAGTTATTTTTATTCTGAAAAAAGTTATGCTATACACAGAAAGGTGTAGAACATAAGTTGTGATTCTCCATCACTAAAAAGGATAATGGTTGCTGGCTTTGCTGTTATTTTAATTGAGGTGAAATTCACATAACATTAACTATTTTAAAGTGAACAGGTCAGTGGCATTTCACAGTAATTTATAACCTCCACCTCTAGTTCCAAAGCATTTTCATCACCTCAGAATAAAACTGTACCCATGAAACAGTGACTCACATTCACCCTTCTCCCCAACCCTGGCATCTAGCAGTCTATTTTCTGTCTTTGTGGATTAACGTATTCTGGATATTTATATGGGTGTAATCATAAAGTGTAGCCATTTGTACCTGACTTCTTTCATTCAGCATAGTATGTTTGAGGTTTATCCATGTTGTAGTAGTGTCAGTGCTTCATTTCTTTTTGTAACTGAATAATATTCCATTCCATGTACATACCACAATGTTTATTCATTTGTCTGACAGTTGGGTTATTTCCACCTTTTGGCGATTGTGAACAGCTCTGCTATGAACATCTGTGTACAAGTATTTATTTAAGTGCCTGTTTCAGTTCTTTGGGGTAAATACCTAGGAGTGAAATTGTTGGGTCACATGATAATTTTATGTTTAACTTTTTGAGGAGCCACCAAACTGTTACCCAGAGGACTTGGAAAATTTACATTCTTGCCTAGAGCATGCAGGGATAGCAATCTCCACAGGCTCATCAACACTTGCGTTTTCACTTTTTTGTTTTTGATTATAGTCATTTTGGTGGCTGTGAGGTGGTATCTAATTTCCCTAATGATTGATGATATTGAGCATTTTTCTCATGTGTTTATTGGCTATTTGTATACCTTCTTTGGAGAGATGTCTGTGTAAATCCTTCACCATTTTTAATGGGGTTGTTTGTCTTTTGTTTTTGAGTTGTAAGAGTTCTTTATATATTCTGGGTAATAGACTCTTGCTGGATACAAAGGGTGCCAAAAAAATGTATACACATTTTAAGAAAGGAAAAAAGCTATTAAAATTGTAATAATATATACCAATAATAAAAGATGAATACAAGTCACGTTTGACTTCTGCAGTTACAAGAAGTGCTTAAAGTGGTTACCATCAGCGTCCAGACACTTCTGATTACGATGAACTGCTGCTTGAGCAACATTGACCAAAGTATCCACTTGTATATGTTTTTGTGGCACCTCCGGTATATAATATACATATATTTCTCCCGTTCTGTAGGTTGTCTTTTCACTTGATAATGCCCTTTGATGCACAGTTTTTTTATTTCCATAGTCTAATTTATATTTTTTTCTTTTGTTGCATGTGCTTTCAGCACAACAAAATAATCCATTGCCAAATCCCAGCTCATGCGTATTTACTCCTGTGTATTTTTTTAGGTTTTATGATTTTAGCTCTTATATTTGGGCCATTAATTTTTTGAGTTAATTTTTATATATGGTGTGCGGCAGCACTCCAGTTTCATTCTTTTTCATGAGGATATCCAGTTGCCCCAGCACCATTTGATAATGAGACTCTTCTTTCTGTTGCTTTTTAAAATTTTTCTCTTTATTAAAAACGGTACTCTGTGAAAGTAATTAAGATCACTGATTCAGGAGACAGAACACTTGGATCCAAATCTGGCCTTACTGCTTACCACCTTGTGACCCTGGGCAAGTTCTTTAAATTTCTTAACACTCAATTTTCTTATATATATAATAGAATAATAGAAAAGTCAACTCCATGGCATTATTGTGAACATCATGTTATATAATATATGTAAAGCACTTAAAAGATTCCTGACAATGAGAGACCAGTTTTGGTAAGAATTACCATCTATATTGTGATCCTTTGAAGAAATCACTATTTAGTAACAACTAATCCAAATTATAGTCCGTCAGGCCTAGACTAAAACTTTAATTCTTCCAAAGGTAAGACTGATGGATCCAGATGCATTGAGATGAATTAGAAAGACATTGAGTGGACACTGGCAGTATTCCAGGTCATTATGGTATTATTTACTCGAGTAACCTAACAGCAATCCCTATTTTATAAGAAACCCGAGGTTTAGAGTGTTAACTAACTTTTCCAAAATATCATTATATAATGATCAAGTGGCAGAGGTGGGACTCATTGAAAGGTCTGTTGCTTCACTCTGTTATAACTTAGTGTAGAAAAAAAGATTTCATAGTCACATAGCCTATCTGTCTAGAATTTCATATAATACTGGAGTAAGGAAAAGTGAAAAGGGTATGTGTGGGTGACATATATATGTGCCATATAAAACATATTATACTAATCAATTCTCTAAGGAAATATTTTATTGTGATTTATGTGTACATTTAGCTAAACCTTAGATTATAGTATACTTGCACTCACTTTGTAATTCTTTATATAATTAATATTTAAAATTCAAGTTTGAATATTTGACTAATTTTTTAGTACATTAGATTGAAAGAAAAAGATTTAACACCTAGTAAATCAAGGTTTATATTTTACTGAGGTAAGTCTAATATTTAAATGGTATTGAATAAAATTTTACAACCCATACATTTAGGTTTCTTTTGTGCTTCTCTCAGATGTAATAAAGGAACAGAATCGAGAGTTACGAGGTACACAGAGGGCTATAAGCAGAGATCGAGCAGCATTAGAGAAACAAGAAAAACAGCTGGTAAGTAGAACATTAAATTTCAGTTTAACTTTTCAAACAAATTTGGAAATCAGTGTTGGCATAATCAGCTAACTAGGAAAAAGACACATGGCAGGTGGCAGTGATTTGCTTTACAAAAGAAATGGAATTTTATGCCTTTCTGCAATTCCTGCTTACCTTTGTTTTTTGTGTCATTCTGCTGGCTTTTATCAGGATCCTGTGTATTCTGCTGATTATAAAATCCAGTTATTCTGCATTTGTAAAAGTCATGAATGACTAGGAAGTAATATTGCTCAAAACAGAGCCAACTTCTCAGTTTATAACAAAGATAAAATAGTCCTGAAAAATAAGAGAGGGTTACAAGAAAATAATTATGTTAACTTGTATTTTAATTTACTTGATATTTTAACTATCATTGTGTCTGTGGTAATGAATGTAGTTTTAAAAATAGATAGGCTATTTTTAAATATCATATGTTATAATGTTTTTAAATGTATGTTGCTTAAAATACTTTTTAAAACATGATTGAGGTATAATTGACATGGTATAGACTGTACTTATTTAAAGCATACATACAATTTGATATATTTTGACAAATGTATTAACTGTTTAAATCATTTCTGCAGTCAAGGTAATACAAATATTACCAGAAGTTTCCTTATTCCTTTTGTTATCCCACCTACCCATCCCTCCCTGTCTTCCTCCTCCCAAATTACGCAAACACTGATCTGTCATTGTAGATTAGTTTATATTTTCTAGAAATTTATATAAATGGAATTATATAATATGAACTGTTTTTTTCATATCGCTTCTTTCAGTCATAACTATTTTGAGATTAATCAGTGTTCTTACATGTATCAGTATTAATTATTTTTTATTGATGGATGTTATGCTATTATGTGGATATTTCACGAATTGTTTATCCATTCACTAGGCCAAAAGACCTTTGGGTTTTTTTTCCAGATTTGACTATTTTGAATAAAGTTGCTATAAACATTCAATTGAAGTCTTTGTGTGAGCATGTTTTCATTTCTCTTGGGTAGATTCCTAGGAGTAGGTTTGCTGGGTCATAGGTTAAATGTATCTTTAACTGTATAAGAATTCTAAACAATTTTGAAAAGTGGCTGTTTTCCGTTCCCACCAGATATATGAGTATGTGCGAGTAAAGCTGTTCCAAATCCTGGCCAAGAGGTGGAGTTGACTGTGTTTTTAAGTTAGCCATTCCAGTGGTGTGTAGCAGATTGTTATTTTAAATTGCATATTCCTCATCGCTAAAGATGTTTAGCATCTCTCCAGGTTTTGCCATTTACCTATCTTCTTTGCCAAAGGGCCTGTTGAAATATTTTACCCACTTTTTTTCATTAAGTTGTTTTATAATTATTTAGTTGTAATGGTTCTCTATATATTCTGGCTATAAGTACTTTATTAAATATATGTTTTGCAAATAATCTCCCCAGTTCTTGACCTTGTCTTTTATTTTCCTAATCATATCTTTTGAGGAACAGATTTTTATTTTGATCAAGTGCAATTTATTATTCTTTTCTTCTGTGATTAGTACTTGTAGTATCCTATGTAAAAAATCTTTGCCTAACCCAAAGTCACTAATAGTTTCAATCATGTTTTCTTCAGGAAGTATTATAGTTTTAGTTCTTACATTTAGAACTGTGAACTGTTATATATTGAATTAAATTTTGCTATGTTGTCACATGAGGTTAGAGGTTCACTTTTTACATATGGAAATTCAGTTGTTTCAACATCATTTGTTGCTGACAGCTTTCCTGTTCAAACATCTTGTCAATTTTTTGGTAAATCAGTTATCCAGCTACATGCTATCAGCCTCATTCTGGGCTCTGTGCTATTCCCTTGATCTGTGTAACTATTCATAAGCAAATACCACACTTTTTATTAATATAGCTTTATAGGAAATCTTAAAGTTATGCAGTGTTAACCCTACCACTCTGTACTTTTTTCAAAATTGTTTTGGCTGTTTTAGTTGCTACATTTCTATATGAACTTTAGAATAAACTTGTCGGTTTCTACAAAACAGATTTTGATTGGGATTACATTGCACATGTAAATTAATTTGGGAAGAATTGACATCTTAACCGTATTGAGCCTTACAATCCATGAACATGCTGTGTCTCTTCCTTTATTTAAATCTTTAATAATTTCTTGGCGGTTTGTAATTGTTATTAAACACATCCTGTACTTCTTTTGTCAAATTTATTCCTAACTATTTTAAATATTTGATGCTAGGTGATATTTTGAAAACAAATTCAATTTCTGATTTTTTATTGCTGGAATATAGAAATAAATTAATATTTTGTACATTAATCTGGAATCCTATAACCTTCCTAAATTCACTTACTTTGTAGCCTTTTGTAGATTTTCTTAGATTTCTACATAGACAATCATGTCATCTGTGAATAAATTAAACTTTTCATCATCCTTTCCAATCTTGATGCTTTTTTTTCATACCTTATTACACAGGCTAGAACTGCAATAGAAATGCTGATAGCAGACATCCTCATATTTTTATTGCTCTTAAGGGGAAACATTCAGTCTTTCACCATTAAGTATGATATTAACTAGGATTTTTGTAGATGCCCTTTCTCAGGCTGAGGAAGTTCCTCCTTATCTAGTTTGCTGAGACTTTTTATTGGGAATAAATTTTGTCATATGCTTGTTTTTTTAATTTTTTGCATCTTTTAAGGTTTTATCATGTCACTGTACTACAGTGTAATGTAGTGACTTACATTGATTGATGTTCCAAAGTTGAATAGGTAATGATGTATTTTTTTAAATATTATTTCAATTTTGCTGAAAATTTAAGAATACTGCATCTGTGTTCATGAAAGGTGTTGATTTATAGTTGTCTTTTTGTGTAATGTCTTTTATTTGGTTTTGACATCAGAGTAATGCCGATCTTAAAGCATGAGTTAGAAAGTATCACTTTCTCTTTTCTTTACTGGAAAGGTTTGTGTATTTCTTCTTTAAATGTGTGATAGGATTCATCAGAAAAGCTATTGGGAGTGAAGTTTTCTTAGTGGATAGGTTTTTTTAATTACGTGTTCATTTTTTTAAAAAACAAATACAGAAAAGATGAGGTTATCTGTCTTTTTGACTGAACTTTGGTAGTTTCCATCTGTCAAGTAATTTGTCCATTTCTACTAAATTTTAAAATGTAATGACATATTGTTGTTCATTGTATTTTCTTATTACCCTTTATAGTCTTTAGCATGTGTAGTGATATCCCCCTTTACAATCCTAATATTTGTAACTTGTGTGTTCTCTCTGTTTGTCTCAGTTTTTTTCCCTCATTTGTCTGGTTAATTAATGGTTTATCACTATGGTCAATCGCTTGTAAAAAAAAAAAGTTTTGATTTCATTAATTTTTCTGTACTTTTTTTTCTTTTCTAGTTTATAGATTCTTTTTCTTGTTTATACTGTTTCTTTTGTTTACTTTGTGGGGGTTTTTTTGTTGTACTTTTTTCTACTTTCCTATTTTGAAGTTTTTGAGATTTTTTTTTCAAATATAAGTTTTCATGTGATAAATTTCCCTCTAAGAAGTGTTTTAACTATAGCCCACACATTTAGAAATGAGGCATTTTTTTTCCTTTAACCTATGACTTATTTAGATTCATGTTTAATTTCTGCTCATTTGTGATTTTCCTTCTATATTCTCTTTACTGATTTCTTATTTAATTTCATTGTGATTAAAGAACATACTTTGTATCATTTCAGCCCTCTTAAATTTATTGAGCCTTGTTTTCTGATGCAGAATATGGTATATTTTGGTAATTTTTTTTTGTTTTTTGGTTTTTTTAGTGTACACTTGTAAAAAATGAGTATTTCTGCTGTTGTTGATGGAGTTCTTTATAAATGTTGGTTAGGTCAACTTGGTAATAGTATTTTTTTGTAAATCTTCTGTGTTACAGATATTCTGTCCACTTGTTCTGACAGTTACAGCAATACACATAAGAGAGGAGTTGTTGATATCCCGCATGCCAATTGTGTATTTACCTCTTTCTCCTTTCAATTCTATAAGCTATGCTTCCTGTATTTTGAAGCACTATTATTAGGTGCATACACATTTAGGGTTGTTTTTACATCTTTAGGTATTAATTCCTTTATCATTATGAAATGCCCCTTTTTATTTTGGGTAATATTTCTTGTTCTCAAGGTTTTTTTGTTTTGTTTTGCCTTTTGATTGTTTGTTTTTTTGTTTTGTTTTTTTAATCTGTTGTTAATGTAGCCACTCTTAATGTCCAGATTTTAATAAGTTTTTATATAGAATATATTTTCTATTCTTTTCGTTTTTTTCTTTTTCTTTTTTTTAAATTAGTTGGTTTCTTGAGATAGCATATATTTGGGTTCTTATCTAATCTGACAGCATTCCTTTTATTGAGATATTAAATGGACCTTTTCACTTAATATGTCTATGTTATTAGTTTTAAATCTACCACTGTGTTCTTTTTTTTTGCTATGCCTCACCAGCTCTTCATTTGTTTTGTTTTGTTTTATTGTTTCCTACCTATTTTTCGGTTGAGTTTTCTTTTTTTTAATTTTATTCTGGGCTCTATGTGAGTACTATTTTGTAGACCAGCTTTGTATTTGTGGATGAAGGAAGCAGTTCCCTCTTTCCCATGTAAACATGTGGAATAAATTTGCTCTCTCACATCGTTCTTTTCTCTCTATGACTTTACGACAGCCTCTGCCTCACTTCATGATCAGGGGAAAAGGGTATATTGTGTATATTTGATCAATTCTTATGAAATAAAGCATTGAGGCCTACCCCTCAATGATTTTTTTCCCTTCTTTTTATTTCCTCTCTTAGGAATTAGAAATTAAGAAAATGGCCAAAATTGGTAATAAAGAAGCTTGCAGAGTTTTAGCCAAACAACTTGTACATCTGCGGAAACAGAAAACAAGAACTTTTGCTGTAAGTTCAAAAGTCACTTCTATGTCCACACAAACAAAAGTGATGAATTCCCAGATGAAGATGGCTGGAGCAATGTCTACTACAGCAAAAGTAAGTGAGATATCCATAGATTTAGAGTTTAATCTAAGATATTTAAATGTTAATATTCAAATCAGATTTAAAAGCACCTCCTGATGTGTATGTAATACAGAATCTGTGTAATTTTTGGCAACATGAGTTATAACAGTAGATAATTCATATAACTTCTTCTAGAGGCTTAAATTCTAGATTTTTAAATTGACTAAAAAAGTATTTGCTTGTTTTCTCTTAAATTGTCAGAGATTTGGGGGCTTATTTGATTCAGCTATTAGTATAAATTTTGATTATTTTAGAGTTGTAATTTCCTCTTGTTTCATTTTCATGTATGTGTCAGAAGGATTTATCAGCTAATTTTAATTGGAACTTATGTTTAACGTATAGTTTTTATATAAAAATATTTGTACTATAGAAGTTAAAGGACTCGGAGCCTTTTGATTTTTTTAATAAATAGTGAGCACTTTGCTGTATATGAAGTACTGTGAGGAATCAGAAGTTTAAGACAAAGACTGTTCTCACAGATCTTATAGTTCTAGTGTTGGGGGGTCGGTTAAGACATGTCTGAAAAGGCAGCTGCCCAGTGTACATCAGTCTGTGCTAAACTTCATTGAACTGCACAGGTCTTTAAACAGAATGATCTGAAAGACTTTGCAAAAGACCTAGGTCTGAAAACCATCACTAGGTGTTAAGTACATGGAAGGAGGAGCATGAATATGACGAGCAAAAGGAGGAAAAGCCACCGAGGAGATCAAGTGTGAGGTTCACATTCGGAAAGTGGTGTCTGCAGCTGATGCTCATTACTTGCAATAGTTAATGTTTCATAAAGTCAGGAACACGGAATTAGTGAATGTGGAACCATTGCTCTGAGGAGAAATACAGGGTTAGGTTCCTGTGAGCCTTCAGTTACATTTGGTCAACCAGTCTGTACCTAAATTTATTTTATGTGTGTTTCTGTTGAAAGACACCATAGTTAATATATACAGAGGGTGCCAAAAAAATGTGTACACATTTTAAGAAAAGAAAAAACTGTATTAAAGTTGTAATACTCAATATACACCAATAACAAAAGACGAATACAAGTCACTTTTGACTTCCGCAATTACAAGAGGTGTTCAAAGTGGTTACCATCAGCGTCCAGATACTTCTGATTACAGCAAACATTGTTTGGTAGAATTCTGTGGCGAGCGTGCAGACTATTCCAGCACCACAGCAGAAGAAGCAGGACTTGTTGCTGTGCGAGGCCTCCCAGATCTTCCCTTGTGCACATCACACACAGCACCATGCATCTAAGACTTATCATGAATGCGTGCAGTTGTTAGGCGTGTTGGAGGTTCTGTTGCATACTCACGCCTCCATTGTCGTTGTACTTCCACAACGTTCTTGAATTTCAAATACTACTTCAAAAAGGTCTTGTGCTCCTCGAATGACCATTGTGCTTCCGCCATTTTCTTTGTCCTGCCGCCATTTTCTTTGTCCTGCCTGTCGCAGGGTGACACTAGCATTCATTTATTCATTTGATTAATGCCATCTTTTTAGCAACGTCTTACTACACATTGCTACCGTAATTCAATTCAACTTCGAAAAGTAATACATAGATAACATCTCTTAAAATGTGTATACATTTTTGGTGTCTTGGTATTGTTGATTTATTATTGTTGACTCATGGTTAATTGTGCTATAACTCATGCCTGAACAAAGCTTACCTCTAACAAAGTATATTTTCTTCATAAGCACATCACAACCTCCTTGCACTTAGGAACAGTAAATGTCATCTTAGTACTATGCTTGGGGACCATTTCAAACAGCAAAATCACAAACAAAAGGCACAAGAATGTGGCAATAAATAAACGGCGAAAGGGACACTTGTGTACAGTGTGAGAGCTGAAACAAGAAGGCAGAGTGTCTCCTTGTTTGACCTCAGCTGAAAATGTGTACGTTGGGCGACTCAAAATTTGGCTGATCTGCGCATGTCCACAAATGAGCACAAAAGCACTGCGAATTTGATTGCAGGTTAGAAATAAATGTTAGTGAGTAGGCAAATATGGAATCCAAAAATAATGAGGATCAACTGTAATTGTTTTGCAATTTTCTGCAAGAGGCTGAAAAAAGATACCTTAAGTGAAGTGGCCCTGCCATAGACAGATGTCTGAATTGGAATTTTCACTTGTATGTCTTAGAAATGTGCTAATTCAGCAAATGTTTGTTTAGAACCTAAATGTAGGAACTATAACAAGTGATAGGGATAAAGTGGAAAGCAAAACCAGTCAAGGGCTTAACCTATAATAGATTCCAGTTTACTTAAAAAACTGCCCACTGAGATGTAGTTTTAGTGTAGTGATTAGGGACATAAGCTCTGGAGCCAGATTACTTGGGTTCAAGTCTCACCTCCACTTAGCAGCTGTGTGACCAGCTCAAGTTATTTCTCCTTCTGTGCCTTCATTCTCCATTTGTAATACAGGGAAAATGGTAGTACCTAGCACATAAAGATTTATCAGGTTTAAATGTCATTTAACTTTAAATATTATTATATATAAAGTGTTTAGAATAGGTTCTGATACACAGTCATATAGGCATTCACTGCTCTATTATAATTATTATATTTTACAATAATTTATAATAAATGATTGTGTTATTTATAATAATGTAAGTTGCAAGTAAAGTTTTATAATTTACACTGATAAATATAAAATTTCACCTATTGTGAGTAAGATTTAACAGGGATACATATTCCAATCTGGGGTATCAGGAACTACTTCCCTAAGAAAGTGGTATATAAACTGAAATCTGAAGTGTTGATACTAAAAGCAGATAGAGAAGAGTATTCCAGGTGAGGGACAGCATATGCAAAGGTCCTGTGGCAGGAGAGAGCATGGTACATATAATGAAATGAAAAATCAGTGTGATTAGAGGGCAGTGGTGCAACAAAAGACTGGCTTATTATGTAGAGTTCAACTGCTATTTGGTCTCACAGGCTAGTTATGAAATTTGATTTTTAATACTAAAATCAATGGAAAGCCGCAGGGGAGTTAGGTATGTGTGGGCTGGCAGAGGTTGGGGGACACGTAGTGTCATATTTATTTAGACATTACTTTGGCTGCTGCATTGCATACAGATTGTCTGAGAAAAGACTTTGCTTCATGTCTTTGAAACTGATATGTTTTATATTGTATAGTGTCTTTTAATTCTGAGCTAACGCTATATAACACACATACTATCTATACCTAAATTTATTTTATGTGTATATATGTTATATATACATTTTATATGTATATAATATATTTTGCCTATACTAAATGGCATTCATCTCTTAATAAAATAACTTGTGAATATAAAACATAAGAATTCTTTTCACATATTTTTGCAAAACTCAATGTTTTGTTCATTTTTTTAAACCATGGTTTAAAATACATTAATGGATTAAGTATATATGCTAGTGTATCCTTTGTAATTTAGACACTAAATTAATGAAAATTTTTGTAAAAATTAAATTAAAATTCTATTTAATTTAGACATTAGCTGCTTACCACATAATAAGTAAATGTTGCTTTCCCATTTGAATAGCAATGGATTTTATGTTGACAGTGTTTTTTATTACATAATTGTTTGCTTATTGTTCAAATGAGGCTTTTTCCACATTGGTCTTTATTATATAGATGTTGAGCAGATGGTTGCTAAACAAGTATTTTATTTTTCCTGGAATCCATAACATTCTCACGAGTATGTTAAGTTGTGTGTATATCGTCTCAAAGCCTGTCTCTATTTGATATGTTCCCTTTGGACTTATCCATAGTAAAATTTTCATAATTATGTAGTTAACATGAATCTTTTCATATTTTAAAGACAATGCAGGCAGTTAACAAGAAGATGGACCCACAAAAAACATTACAAACAATGCAGAATTTCCAGAAGGAAAATATGAAAATGGAAATGACTGAAGAAATGAGTAAGTTTAATAACTTGTAATGAAATGTACTGTTTTCTCATCTTTGAATTAGCCAAGTTTATTTACTAGCAGTGTCATAGTCTCATCCATGAAAGCACAGATACTGAAAAAAAATGATACAGTACCCTTCTAGATAGATGTCTATATTGTAACAGCAATGTATTTTTAAATTGGCAAAGTATAAGGCTCAAAATTTTATTAATGTTTAACTGAAAGAAGAATATAAAATATGTCATTCCATATTTCTATGCCATTTGGGCCCCAGCAGTTTTATTTTATTGATTAATGGACCAAAACCAACTCGTGAATAAAATAATTCTTCCTGTAAATTGGATAGTTTCAGAGTTGTGTTGATTCTTTCATACTATAGATATTCCTTCATTCTTTTTTTTTCCCTCCCAAAGTTATTTAAAGTTTAGTTTTCTTTTTTTTTAATATAAACTAATTACATGTTGCACTAAAAATATGGAGAACAAAGGAAAAGGCATATTGTAAAAGCATCTATCATCACACTACTCAGATATAGTTACTGTTAATATTATATGTTTCTTACCTATATTTTCCCATATCCTATAATATAGTAAGATCATATTACATGTAAAATTTGGAACCTCATCCTGCTTTTAAAAAACAATAGTATAACATAAGCACATACTCACAACCTTAAATCTTTTCTGGTCTTTTTTTAAAAATGGTTTAATATTGCATAACATCAATATTAAATAAAATCAATTCTTAATTTATTGAAACAGTTTTACATTAGTCAATAAGATTGTTTTAAACTTTCATTGTATTTGATAATCCTTTGGTAAATGTTTCTATATTATCTTTGTCTAAATTTATTAAATCCCCTTAGAGTAAGAGCTTTTATAATGCTTTTGTTTCATACTACCAAATTTGTCTCAGAAAGACTATACCATAACAGTCTTTATTTCACCAATAATGAATGAGTGATCCTTTACAGCATCCTGGTCAACATTGAATTATCACTTACATGTAATGTTAAAACTGACATCATATTTTGCAAACATGTTTTCTTTTTAATTTTTCAATTAAAGTTGACATACAATATTATATTAGTTTCAGGTGTACAACCTAGTGATTAGACATTTATATAACTTACAAAGTGATCACCTTGATAAGTCTAGTACCCACCCGACACCATACATAGTTATTGTAATAATATTAATTATATTCCCTATGCCATTCAATATTAATAAATACTGAACCTTAGACTTTGTTAGAATATTCTACCTACATCTTTTTTTGCTTGTTTGTTTGTTTTTCTTTTCGTTTTTTGTTTTTAAAGATTTTTATTGGGGAATTGGGGGAAGGGGAACAGACAAGTTGCTGTCCTTTTGTTCTTCAGTCTAGTTGTGGAGGACGTTGCTTCACTGGCCCAAGTTGGCACCATCATTGCGCTCTTCCCGGGCGAGGCAGATCAGTCGCTGGCTTCTGGACGGCCGCTCACTGCGGCTGCTGGCTGCTCACGCTGGCTGCTGGCTACACAGGGTAGCCCATGGCAACCCACTGCCACAGGGGCTGCAGCCTATGCCTTCGCCACGACTCACGGCAGCCCAGCTCCAGGTTGAGCTGTTGTTCAGCATCTTAGCTGTAGAGGGCAGTGTCACTGGCCCTCATGTGGGATCCGAACTGGGGCCCTCTGGCGTCGCAAGCCAGTTCTTAACCATTACGCCACTCGGCCGGCCCCTACCTACATCTTGAATGTAAATTTAAGAAAGCTGGAAGTATAATTATAGGTATAAAAAGAGTAAATCATCTCCCAAACATTTACAGGATATTTGGTTCTTTCATGGCTAGGTTTAACAGCTACAAGCTCAATGGATTCAATTTGTGGAATCATATTTAAAAACTTTAAATCTGTAGCTATGGATATCATATAGTTGTTATTTATTAAAGATTTTTAAATATTTTTTTAAATCCAAGTACACTTTTTTATTATAGGATAATTTGTGTTGCAATGAATGTTATTCCAGATTTAATGCCTCAAAAAATGTATCTTTCAGTGAACTTCATTAACGTTTGAAAGTGACTTTTTTAATTTGTTGGTTCACCTAAGTTTGCCCTTCTGTAATATACAAAATATATACACATAGTTGGGCTGCCTTCTAAAAATGTAAATCTAACCTGAAATCTGTTTGAAAGTAACTGCTTTGTTTTCCCCACCCCAAGTCAATGACACACTTGATGACATCTTTGATGGCTCTGATGATGAAGAAGAAAGCCAAGATATTGTGAACCAAGTCCTTGATGAGATTGGAATTGAAATCTCTGGAAAGGTATAGTCGTCTTCTTTTCTCAATTGGAAATAATTTCCACCATTTTTATCCCTTAATTGTTTCAAGTAGCCCCTTACAAATGCATGTTTTTGTATTTGTTTGAAAAGTAAACTAAACCTGTTTGTAGCACATCTTTTATATGCAGGCCCCAATGTTTGATAATGCACATTTTTTTCTCTTTTCCTCTCTTTAATATAGATGGCCAAAGCTCCGTCAGCAGCCCGAAGCTTACCATCTGCCTCTACTTCAAAGGCTACAATCTCTGATGAAGAGATTGAACGACAACTCAAAGCTTTAGGAGTAGATTAGTCAAAAAAGCCATAATATTTTGCTTATATTTAGTGTAAACCAGGCACATTGCAGGTTCCTTTTACAAAATGCATTTATTTTGCAAAAAAAAAATAAAGACCATGAGTGAACAGTTGTCCTAACCCATGGCTATTTTGAATCTTTTGCCAAAGAATGACAACGATGCAAAATGGGAACAGGTTGGATTTTAAATAGAACGATTTAGCAGTGATGATATGTAAAAAGTTGACTTTTCTGCATGGCATCGAGAAATTATATTCATTACTTAGTGTAGTTTATGTTCTAAATCTTTTTACACTGAATACAAAAATCTTGTTAACTGCCACTAAGCACCAACTTCAAGAGTCTTGTAAAAATGCTAAAAGTATATCATTAATTCTGTATCTGTTGCTTGTCTTTTGTAAGTGATATGTGTTATGACCATAGGCAATCCAGCTGCCAAATTATTTTTAAATGATCTAAAAGAGGAGTAATATTTAAACATCTGTCTTAAACAAAAACTGTCATGAGCTTTTTTTTTTTCTTTTTCCTTGGGGAGGACATTCTAGTTGCTAAGTTTATTACCTTTCAAAATGTGCTTGGCACCTGCCTTAAACAGTACAAACATTGTGCACATATTTAAATTATTTAACTGAGAGAAAAGAATTATGTTTTAAACTAAAACTGAAGCCTCTTACAAAAATTATCCAGGCTGTCCTTTGTAAAGTTTATGAAAGTGAATTGAATATATTAGCAAAAACAGACACTGAATTAATAACATTTTATAGTAATAAAACAATATATTTTGGTCTTCCAAGAACTGAGGAGATTTCTCCATATGTTTAATTTTGAACTGTATTAATATGTGTATGGAACCCTCTCAATTGAAGCCATCATTCTCTCAATTATGTAACATTACTATGAAAATACTTGACCTAAATTTTAAAATAAAAATTGGCACTTTTTTTCTTGGTAAGTAAACTACAATTTTGTCAGAAGTTACTGTCTAAATGTGTATTAATGTTTTAGCAGTATTTTTTAAGGTAAAGTTGCTTTGGTATTTAATGTATGTATAAAAAGTGAGGAGAAATGAGGAGCTGGCAGATTAATTAGAGATAGAATTTAGAATTAGGTTAGTTTTGAAAAATGATGTTGTACTATATGGGTTCTAGCACATTCCACCATAAAAACCCTGGAGGAGACCAGATAGGTGTAACCTGGTTAATTTGGATGGACATTTTGGACTAATATTGAAAATATAAACACATTTTAGAACTATTATATATGTGGCATATGGATTGGTGGGAAGAATGAAAAGCTAAATGATATAGTTTATAATCTATAAACCATTTTATAAAGTTCAAAGATAAGGTTGCATTATTGGTAGTATTAAATATCGTTACCCTAAACATTGATGGATCAAAAGATTCTATTAGATTATAGAATGTTAAACTAGAACTTGTTTTGATTCTTGGATGTACATAATAATGCCAACTAACTTTATTTACTTTCTTGTTTACATGTGGGGCTTTTGTTTTTGAAAAATATTTTGTTAAAAAAATCCCAATAAAGATTTATTGCTGTTAATGCTTTTTTAAAAATCTCTTTTACTCATTTTTGGCTTCTGCTAAAGTTAAAAATTTTATGCATATCTGGTAATTTTTCAAAAGCATGATTTTTATTTTCCTGGAAAGAACGTTATACAACTCTGCTACTTACATTTTAACAAAAATTGTCTTCTTAAGAATTAACAGTTGGTATGGGACCAATGTTTGTGAATGGAGTAAGCCTAATAATTAGGTGGTTTCACATGAAATTGATCTGACAATTCCTTTCCTAGAACTTCCAGAGGATAAACACTTAAAAGAAAAAATTTTTTAACAGGTGAGTCTCAGTTCTTTCATTTCAGTTAAGTGTGGATGCCACAGGAGGTTTTGGGACTCAAAGGAGAGAATGATTTGGCTACATTTATAAAATGCTCTGGTGGCAGTTGTCCCAAACACTATAAATTTATATAGTGTTATGCTATTCTTTGCTAAAAAGAAAACTCCCTTTTGGTCCCTTAAGATTCAGAAACAAGGATTCTTATCCATTGAGATTAATGGAAATATTGACCTTTTTTTTAAACGTGCTTTTCCTGACTTCCTATGTTTGGCAAAAGGATTTCTTTAACAACTGTGTTCAAAGAAGAGGTTGCCAATAGAAAAAGCAGAAGAGGATAGCAGTTTCTGTGTTACCAAAGAGGATGCAGCCCAGCGTCACACCCTGTTACTGGATGTAAAAGTCATGGATAGAGGGATTTCAGAGTATCAGAGAAGTAGCATGTGGTACAAGAATGTCAATGCTGATAATAGCACCTAGTCTTAGAAAACATAAAATTACCACCTGTCCGATACTTGTGTTGCTCAGATCCTGTCCCCTGGGGGGAGTACCTGGTTATGCAGGGCCTGGTGGAAAGGGGCTCAAAATGGTGACCCTATAAATTAGAGGGGGGAACTTTATACTATTTCATGTTGCACAGTGACATGTATTTTGTTATTTGCATTTGAACGCCTTTAAAGGAAGCCTGTACCGCCACTTGGCCACATGGACACTCCTTACTAGCCCAGTAGCTATACTTTTATTTAGTCTGATCCCTGTGGGCCTAACTTGAACATGTGCTCCTATTTCAGTGTACTCATACACTAAAATGGGTGTGTCCGGGTATGGAAAGAGACCTATGATGACTATCTCCTTTGATGCTATTACTCTGGTAGGTTTTTGCCGCTATAGAAAAACAGATCAGCTTTCCAGTTTCCTCTCTATGGAAGCTGAGTCCCATAAAGGACTGTAAGACCACTCTTCTAACCTTAATTCTTTCAAGAGTCAATTAATTGGACCCATTTTGCCTTAGAGGAAGTCTGGGGGTAGTGTAGTCTGATTTCAGGCCCTGCTGTTGGAACACCACACACATTAACCCCCACCCCACACCACCACCACCACCATCCTTCCAAGAAAACACACACACACACACACACACACACACCTCTTCTATCCCCAAACACTGATAATATTTCTTTAGACAAATCTTTCGACCATTAAAGATGGAAAGGTAAATTTTATGAATGAATTTGTCAACCACCTTAACCAGGTAAAATTGAATATACCAATTAGTGTAAGTGACAGACATATCTTCCATTTTAATGGACGACTCTACTGAATTTCCGAAGATTCACTACAGAAGTCACAAGAACATAAGATAGAAAGGCTGTATGGCTAAAGTCAGCTTTTGACGTTTATTCCAGAAAGAATGAACACATAGATACTACACAATAAATTACAGTTGTCATTTGTTTAATGCAATTTAGGATTCTAAATAACATTAACCATTTTCTATTTTTTAAAAAGATCAAAATCTATTAAAATATCTCAATATACTCAGAAAATATAGTCTCAAAACTCAATAGAAATAAGTTAATAGTAAATACCAGTGCATTTACAACTAACTTATGAATAGCTAAATAACATTGCTATTTCAATATTAACTATTGATTCAAAATAATTTTTTTAGAGGGAGGAATTGGTTCCCAATATTGGTTGTATCTGAACTTGAAAATAATGACATGGGTGAATGTCTGATGATAACATGGTCTAAACATACATTTGTGATGATTAAGCATATATGCGTGCCTGCTTTTGTTATATAAAGTAAGATTAAACATTCCCAGCAGATTCATATTTAAAGTGCAAAAAAGTCACTATCCTACATCTATATTGCATTAAATTTTGCTTCTATTTGCAAGTTTCAAAGACGTGCATTTATTTATTTATTTATTTATTTATTTATTTATTTATTTATTTATTTATTTATTTATTTATGAGAGTATGTATACGCCCTACCCTGTCTTTTGCAAACTAAATAATCCCTTCCCCATTAATGTGTATTTTAAGCAGGTGAATTATCCAGAGAAGGAACTTAGATATCTATATAGCTGAATAATTTGGAATTTACTCTTGAATAAGAAAAGCCTTTATAGATACACTGTATTTAGCAGCTCCGGGGAGCTACAAGTGTGCTAAGGAATGGATGAGCAGGCCCCTGAAAACTTTTGTTGTCAGTATATCAAAGTTTCTAGTCATCCAACTATGTGTGCACAAATATATGTGATCTACATAGATTATGACCTTTGGTCTTTATTAACATCAGAAAAGCAAGAAACGACGGTATAATTTATTTAGTAAGGATTCTAAACCAATAATAAAAATTGGTTTAATTGTTCCCATTTTTGTGATATAAAATAGATAAACATTGCCAGCAGATTTCATTTCAAATGCAAAAAAAATCACTATTTAATATTTGATATCACATTATAGTATCCTACTTGAAAGTTTCAAAGGGCATTCTCATAAATGAATGTCCTTTTGAGATACAATTCCCTGAATTTAAAAGCTCAATATATCAAATCATTTTTATTAATAATCATATTCTAGTCAATTAAACCAAAAGTGATAGTCCTTTTTCATAGGGCCCCAGATGGTTTTGTGGGTTGTGAGATTTCAAAAAATAAATTAGTTGCCCTTCAAGTTTGTAGCCATTGTCAACAGCATACACCTTCATTTAATTATGAACAAATCATTACTCAATTGAAGTACAGTTGCATGCTAAGAGCAATTGCTTTCCCAGGCAGTGGAGCAACAACAACAAACAAGCAGACGTCTCCCCTGCATTGTTGCAGCTTACAGAACAGTGGTTTGGAGCTCAAGAATTCATAAAGCGTATTTTCTATAACTAACCATCAAAAAGTTAATGTCTGGGAAGAATAAAAAGATCATAAATTAAGGTTTATACAAACCTCTATTGAAACACTTCTTTGGACACTGTGCCTTGAGTGTATTAGCTTCAGAGGTGTCACTTCTGATTAAGATTTATTCCTAAACATAGTAAGAAAATTCTAAGGCACCTCAGGCTCTTAAGTGCAAAAGTTTGAGTTCAAACAAACGATTAGAGTTGATGGTGAACAGGACATTGGTTAAGGAATGATCTAACTGGATCTTCTCTGGTGATATTCTTAAACTATGACATTACTGACTGAAATATTAAAAAGCTAACATACAGCCTTTGGAAAAGAGACCTTAAAACGAAAAAACCCATGTGCACACTCGTGTGTGTCTGTGTGTGTGTGTGTAGATAGATAAAAGATAGATGATATAGATAAATAGATGATTGATAGATTGATAGTAGAGAGGTGATAGATGGGTTGGAGGGTGGATGGATAGGGAGAGAGACTGAGAGAAAGAATCATTTTATTCATATTAATATCTTTGGGTTAAAATGTTAAATGTGGCTTCTGAGAATAAGTATTTTAAAGAAAATTCATCAATATAATTTAATTGTATTTTTTAGACTAGAAAAGAAAAGCTGCAAATGCTGATATAAAATGATTTTTTAAAGCAACGAAATAACTAATTTCTATTTTTGTTGGAGAAGAGAAAGAAACAAAAAATAGAAAAATTTGTAATTACACAATAGGAAATCTTATCTGCATTCAAGGTTCTCCTTGGAAATAGTAAATAAACTATGATTCAGACTTGTTTTCACCCGTTTTTCTCTCTGCCTTCGGTTGCAAAACCAAACTCTTACTACTTCTTTCTCAAGATTCAATTCTTCAGCCATCCGCATGATCTCCTGAGAAGAAGGTTTATTCTGTTCTCCAAAGTGTCTCTCCAGAGCATCTTTAGCAGCAATGCTAGGAGATGGGGTTGGGGTTGGAGGATGGAGGTGAAGAGAAAGGGTGAGATGATGTTTTTAAAAAGTGATGCTTCTGGCAGATCAAAATTAAGTTAGGTTGAATTTCCTAAATATTAACGTGAAAACAAAACTGAAACTCTTTGAAAACACTTTTAAGGCTCGTCAACAAAGATAAATGTACATTTTTTTCGAACTTTTAGATGTTTGTCCTATTCAAGATACCATTATCGGAGTCAAGGGAAGAAATAAATACAGGAACCCAGACTTTCTATGTTTATCCCGCTTCGTGCCACAAGAGGGCACTGACTTCCTGAGAAGGAAAGTAACTCTTCTAAATGTCCCCCAGCAAGGAACACATCTAAATGTCCCCCAGAAATCATTTCAATTATTTACAATAGATGAAATATTTAGTGAACAACTAACCAACCAAAACAAAACCTATATTTTAGCATTTCCTGCCTAGAGCCTCATAAGATCAAAGAACACTCTGGTTTAAATGGCAAGGAATTACTTTGGACTTACGATGCTGAAATACTGATTACTGGTTGTGTTATTTTTAATGACACAGATAACGTATTACCAGAGCAACACTAATATCTAACAGGACAGCAGAAACAGTCAGTCTTTTTAGAAGTGATAGTTGAGTTTCTGTTTTATCCAAAACTGTGGAGCAAAAGTGTCCTTGAACAGTATGTACTTTTCCATCAAATGTTTAAAATTATTAGCTCTCCACTTCTCACTATTAAGTTAATAAAATTTGTCATTTGACTCTATTCTTATATTTACATGTTATATTGTACCTTTATTACACTAAAAACTCATTACTTTTGTAAAATATATTTTTCTTCCTCTAGTAACTTTGAATATCTCAGAAGCATACCTTATAGTTGTTCTCCGTTTCCTTTTCCTTTCATTTACTCCTGCTTTTTCATTGTATAAAGCTGTAATGGAGGGAAGGGGGACACAAACAAAATAGGGTTTAAAAAAACACCCTCAGATTTGTATTTCAGGTTTTCTTTATAAAACAATGCAAAATAAAATCATACATTTTTGTTTCAATTTTTACAATCTATGTCATTTCATATTATAATCTCTATATAAAAATGTTAATACAGAAATACATATAACTTCGCAAAGACAATTGTCTATAAATCATATTTCTACCTTACTTTTGTTGGAACTTGTGCTCTAAATGCTCTCAAACTTTGTTCTTTATCCGGCCTTGACATTAGTATGAGTAGATCATTTTATCACATTAAATTGTGCACCTGAAACTAATATAATACTGAATGTCAACTGGAATTGAAAAATAAAAATAAAATTGCTCACCTAGCAATTACTAGCATTATTCCGTTGGAAGACTGATGTGTGCAAATGCTCTGGTTACACTAGTATCAGGTTATAAAGATAATTCATGTACAATCACTACAGTATAGCACAGAGGCAAAAAAAAAAATCTGGACGTGTTAAAAAAAATTCATTTCACCAGTTCACACCTACGCCACCCTGTCTACAATCTACACTTGAATTAGCCTTCTTTTCTTTTAGTGTGATGAAACAAAATACTTATTTTTCATCTCAAAGAGGAAAACAAAGCCAAACTAAACTTTGCATGAATCCTACCAGTTGTTTTTAGGTTAAAACCTCACAGAGAGTTTAGAGACATCGTTTTCGTACCTCCCACTTGCTCGGCTTCCTCCAGCCATTTGGATAATATTGCTTTCAGCTTGCATGCATTTTTAAAGCTGAGCTGCAGGTTTTCGAATCGGCAGATAGTTGTTTGACTGAACTCAGAGCCGTGCACAGCTGCCAGGGCCTCCCCAACATTTGTTTGGGTGTATCCTGTGAAAGCATGATAAAGACCATTAGCTTCGGCTTCCAGGAAGCATTCGTTTTGGTCCAATATCACGCAAATTGATATTGGACCAAAATTAATGCTTTGTGTATCTTTCTTTGTCAATTATAGGCTTTTAAGCATATATCTATTGGTAATTCAGAATTGTTTAGTAAGGTTCAGTGTAAAATTGTCCAGTACATCAAAAACATTCCTTCTATTGATTATTTTTTCTAGATGTCGAAAGAATTCAGATAGGAACATTTGTCATTTGTAACATTTAGTCAAATTGAATAGGTGTCTCATAAACACTTTGTAAAACACTTAAAAATTCTTGCACTCTTTGTTATTATCTGATGATATATACCCAAAAATCCATAGTATATTTGACATAATGCAAAAAATAATATATGGTGCTATATCATAAATATTTTTCTCAACTGTAAGAGTGAAAAAAAAACTATATTGTTAAAGGGCACCAAATACATTATGTTTACTTCCTCCAAAGACATGTTTATTATGAGGCTGATCACCCAACATTTTATATATACTTCCAAGCACATTTATCATATCATTTGATAATGCTTCTATCTCCAGACAGATCCTCATTGATTGTCCCAAACATTTTTAGTGTACAAGTTGATATAAACCATTAATATCAAATTTGAAACATTCACAGCAACGTAAATAGCAAACAGAAAATGAAGGTTACAGAATGCCTACTGCTGTGTTTCTTACATATAGTAATCATTTATTAATTCAGGGCCTACGGCTATATACCTACACGCATAAAGTGGTTACATATGATACCCATTAATAAATATTATTACAAAATTACCTGTGGTTCATTCCACAAATACAGAGGTTTGAACTATCATTTTCAATCCATTAAAAAAAATCACTACTTCATGAATTTAAATCAGGGTTACTTGTTATAGTTATTTTATGTTAAAAACACTTTCAATAGAAAGTGAGCAAAATGTATGAGCAGATAATTCACAGAAAAGGAATTACAGATAACTGTCAAACATGTGAAAGAACACTTTCAATCTTCACTCAGAAGAGAAATTTAAAAGGAAATTACCATGGGGTGCCACATCGACCTATTTGATTCGCAAAGATCCAAAAGACTAATTGCATATTTTCCTTCAACAAGTATTTATTTATTCTATGCGCCAGTCACTAACTGTTGAGGATATGCCATTAAGGAGAAAACAAAAACAAATAAACAACAAACAAACTGCCTTAATGGAGCTTATATTCTGAGGGGTGGCAAAAGATACATTCAGGATGGCAGGAAAATTTGGTAACAACTTCTATACAGACCAATTTTACATCTGTCAAAATTACAAACACATACCTTTTGAAGTTATTTTGCTTTTAACACATTTTCTACACACATATAGGTGCAATATGGCATTTATGAAGTTAGTCATTGTAGCATTGTTTTTAACAACACTAGATTGGAGAACACATAACTTTACCATCAGTGAGGGACTTGTTAAATACATTGTGAAATAGAATATGACAGATCCACTTTTAAAAAGCTCTCTAAAACCTAATGCGGAAAGTTTTCCAAAATAAATAGTTAAAAAAATTGTATGAAGAAATAAATAAATATATATATATATATATTTGATTATATATGCATAAAATATCTATGAAAGAATACACAAAAAGCTAAGAACATTGACAAACAGAAAAGACAAGCAGAAAGGATATATTTCATTTATATATTTTTGTGCCTTTGAATCATATGAATGTATTATGTATTCAAAAGTTCAATTAAAATATAGAGAAAACTAACCTTGATGCAGTTAAGTTGAACATGAGTGCCATTAATTTAAAAATCTATGTGTTTAGGTTTTTAAGAGTTTACAAAGAAATAAAGGTTTTTGTAGGATTTTTCACTATTGGACTAACTTTTGTGCAGAGTTGAAGAGACTGAACAGTAAATACAGTAAGGCTTAGCAGACCAACTTATGTGCCCCATTGCGCTACACATACCTAACTTAATTCTTCTCACTTTAAATTCATTGGCAAACTTTTCAAGTTCTCGAATTTCCGGGGAATCCATGTCTATTGGCTCTTCAACCAATTTGCTTTTCCGCCTGAGTTCCTGCTTGAAGTCAGCAGCTGTGGGGTCCTCTGCCAGGAGAGGCTGGGGCATGGGAGGAAACCCATGGCTCAAGGTGTGGTCAGGAAACTTATAAAGGCAAGGGGTGAGGCTGCCTGGGAACAAAGAAAGAAAAAAAAGGCAAGGCCATTTGTAAAAGAGACACTCATGATGGCAGGAAAATTTGGTAACAACAGACCCTCCATTTCTGAACAGACCCCCATTTCTATACCAGCAAGGGTTTTGCCTGTTAGAGCCCCTTATTCTACCACAGCCAGTCTCGATTTTGAAAGGCTCACTGACAGTCTTCTGAAGTAGAAGTCAGAGCAGCTTAGTATAGATGTGATTGTATTCCACCTTCCCCGGAGCAGCAAAAACAAAGATAATGCCAAAGGAAAGAAGCAGGGAATTGCAAATAATTAAAATAGAAATAAGCAAATTCAGACGTGTAAGTTTTCCTTTTTTTTTTTTTCTCTTAAAAGTCACCTATTCCTGGGAATCTGAGGTTCAACTCAAACCAGAATGTGTATTTTGAGCTCCATATTCTTAATTCATTAAACAAATAATCTGTGATGTTTGTTATAATCAAGGCACAGGGTTAAGTACTATGCTGGCAAGTTTTCTTAGGATCAGAAAATTGATTTTACAGTATTTAGAAGCCTGACCGTTTTATCAGTAAATGCTTAACTTCAATGGGAAAGTCTCACGGTTTTGTTTTGTTTTGTTTTTTAAGTTTAACAAAGGCAAGTAAAAAGAGAAATATGGTTAAATAGATTTGAGGAGTGAATAGATGTGAACAAAAGGTAATTTTTAAAGTTTTATAAAGAGTCAGCAACAAGATTTCTTGAAAAGTATACACTATAATGAAATGATTTTTGATTATTGTACAAGAAAAAAAATAAGTGCAATTCTAGATATGATAGGTAATCACCTATGATTTGAGTGGGTTAAATGATAAATCACAAAATACTGAAAGTATCTAAAACTTGCTAAATTGCTTCAAGATTTTATTCTTCATTAGTAGAGAAGAGTCTATCCCAGTTGGGGAGCATGGGCGAGAGGATATTATAAGCCAAATTCCCACACATTTTATTTATGTTTTCTCCATCACTATAATACGTTTTAATTGGCAGAAATTTCACTTCAGTTTATATTAAATGACACATGTATAACCAAGACATTTTAATATAAATAAAATATTCAGTAATTAATCATGTTTCTTAAGATTACAAATAAATATTTAAAAAATAAATTACAGAATATATGTAATAATTATTCTTGGAAACACTGAAAAAAATACATGAAGCATTTATGCTACCTATAATTTCTTCATAAATATATTCACAAGTCAAAGACATGAATAATAGTGTATTTTGCCAGAATATATAGATCTTACATTAATATATCAATATGTAATGAGCAAAGAATAGTGTAAGTCAGCAAATTATTGAGAATATGTAATTATGTTTATATGAGAATGTGTAATTATAAAGTGTTCCTCTATCGAATAGACTATATTGTTTTTCTGAGGCAAAATTAACATACAAGTGAGAAATTAAACAAAAAGGCATAAAATAAATTTAGCTGCTTTACAGATGTAAAACATATTTGAAAGAAACTACTCCTATCTAGAAAATGTCATCCTACTTTTACAAACCAAAATTATCCAGTTGTTGTACTTTTTAAAAAGTCAGTTAATCATCTACTTAATGCTTTTGTATTAATGGTATATTGATCATATCATATCAGATAAAATTTCAAACAGGTGTATCAATTTTTAATTTATTACATAGCTAATTATTGAAAATGTTTATTACTTTTGGGGTACATGGTTTTAGATTTCTCCTAGTTGAAGTAAAAGAAAAACTAAAAATAAATAAAAAGAAAACTCATCACATTTATTTTAGCATCTACTTAATATTTGTGTCAAGAATTTTCTTTTGCTTATGACTTACAGAGTTGGTATATATATATATATATATATATATATATATATATATATATGTAAGATCTTCACTTCTGTCATCATTCAAAAGTATAAATGTCACTTAATATACTTAGTGATGAAATACTCTAAGAAATAGTACAGAGAAAAAAATCAGGCTGCTGTTTGATTTTGCACATATACTGTATTCTAATGTACTTTAAATAACTCATTTAACCTATGTCAAATTATTTTTATTTTACATAAGTAATTTGTTGCATATCTTTTACATGAGATGCCACAAGGTCTGAACTTGTTAGCAATCTTGATCATTATTTTCAATTTTTCTTGCTGATCATAGTCACATACTGCTACAAATTTTCTATGTAACATTTGTTCTGTGTGCATTTCACATTTGTCATTTTCTTATCTTTATACAAACAGGAAAGATGTATTTTTTACCCACTATTTTAAATTTAAGAAACTTAAGTAAAATAAGTTAAAAACTTACCTTGGGTACCACAATGAATTAACTGTACAGTTGAAACTAGAACTGAAGTCCACTGAACACTGTAATAAACCACATCAAAATAATCACCTAATTCATTTTTCAGGCAGTCTGTCCTCAGGTAAACCCAATGATTTTCCATTAAACACTTCTATGGTTTAAACACATTTATCTACATTAAACAAATGCTTTTACACAAAATATTATAGTTATTTATCAAAATATTAGAAGCGTTGTCTCTGTTTATGGTAGAATTTAAAGGTAGTTTATACATTATAAACACTCTAGAAAACGGACACTTAGAAAATAAATGTTAACATGAGTCCATAAAAAAGAACACAGGAACTACCATGTTCACAGGTTTGACATCCAGAGACAAAAGGAAAACATGATGTGTGACACGTATTTTTTTTCAATAAGTGAAAGTATCCACAATTATTCACAGGAACACCATTTTTCTGGAACTAACCTTAAACAGAAATTCACGATGACAGTCATAAACACAGCCAAACAAACTGCAGTTTCTATCATATGATCCTGTATTTGAGGGAAAGTGGGAGTGAATGGTATGGTATACATGGCAAGATATTTTTTTAAATCTTTCTAAAGCCTGGATTATTGAAAAAAGAGAAAAAGAAGAAGATAAAAGATACAGTGAGTCATGTGCAGCAGAAGTCTCACATGCAATTGCCAAATCATTAGTACAGCACCATTGTCTATAAGCCTAGACAAGCATACACCTAAAAGCTTAGAAGTGTCGGCACATTCTTTACAGCCATAAGTATATTTTCACATTGCAGGTTAATCCACCACAGCCTTTCTGAATTGCTCTGTATGTATTCCTGTGCAGGAGAACAGAGGTAAATCTTTTAAAGCAGGCAATGAGGATGCAGAGGTCTGGCTTGCCTTGCAGGGTGCTGGCTCAATGTACCATGGCATGGGGCAAATTGCTCTTTTGCAGCATGTGGCTCTGCCAGATGCTAACTGACAACATGTCTGAGGTTATGGGCTTGAAGCCTTATTAGAGCAAACAGGAGAAGCAGAGGGACACAGTAAAATACAACAGCTTGCTATAGACATGCACAAGAATGCTCATTTAAATATTTCCATTTATTTTTTTCCCCACGCATGACAATGTGAAGCAAGTCATAAACTTGAGTTGTGATTTTCTTCTCTTTGGGGCATTGGTAGGTCCTATCCATGTACAATACAGATCCTCAGCCTGGTTTTGTAAATTAAGTTTATTCGGAACCCAGCCATGCACATTTGCTTACATGTTGCCTATGGCTGCTTTCCTACTAAAATCACCAAGTGGAGTAGTTAAGAAAGAGACTAACTAAAAAACTTAAGAAAAATGCATCATGTCACTGCTACTGAAAGACCCTTTATAATACAGAGGGAAAAGGTCTTCAGAATTACTCCTTCCCTCAGAGTCAACACAACCAGGACAAGTTAGGGAATAAGAAAAAAA